GGGAGACTGAAGCCTCTGATTGCGCTGATTTTCTGGAGAACAGCCCTGTGATGTGAACAAGCTTGAGCATTAACCTAGTTGTCCAGTAACCTGGGGGAACTAAAGGTTAACCTTTGGGATGATAAGGGGATTATACTACCCCAAAAAGGTTGAAGGTTACCTACTCTACTACTAGGATTAAACCTGTTTCCCTGGCCGAAGCACACGCTGCTTCGCCCCCCGGATTCGAAGTCCACAACTGCCAGGCTCAGGTTGTCCTCGGCTGGACGGGAATGAGGGTGTTAGGGGAATTCAAGTGTCTTGACAACAAGTGCACCGGTTCGGAAAAAAACCACTCATCAGTCTGGCGGGATGTTGCGGGTACTTGCAAAGCAAGGTTCCGGATTGCACAGCACCTCCACCTCCAAGTAGACCTCATGAAAGCAGGGTTTAGGGTTTAGGGTTAGCCCCCTTCTGGCTTTCACTTCGGATTCGAGAACTTCCACATGATTCACAGCGCGAGGCTGAGGCCCCAGCCCCCTTCTGGCTGTTCGTCAGCAGGTCAGAACGAATGCGGCACTTACCTCGAGAATTCGTGCAAGGGCAAGAACATTGTGCTGATGTCGAGCCAGAAGCCAGGGCACAGTAGGCCACATCGTCTGGGTTTCGTATGGACTTGATCCTCGGGAAGCAGCCAACATTGCTGGAAGCCATCGCCATGATGTTATGTCAGGTTCCCCTTTGAAGCGAGCCCTGAGTTTGAGTCTTGGGGGATGGGCCGTTCAGAGCCGGAAGTGCACTAACACAAGCTCTGGCTGCCGCCGCAGTGGCTGGCTGCCGCGGAAGGGCTCACGAAAGGTGGGCACCTTGCCAATGCTTGGAATAGCAGCCGGCTGGCCATTCCGTGTATGTGTGGCTTGGTGACTGCCATAAGAACGGGGGTCTTGGCGACCGTGGACGGCATGAACTAGACACATCAGGCATGCCTCGTGCTTGAAGTGCAAGAACCGACCTTTCCAATCCACACGCGCCTGGGTCGGAAGAGTGGGAAGTTCACTCTAGGACAGAACATTAGCATACAGTCGCCAGCGTGGCAGAATATTAGCATACTGTCGCCAGCAAAGCTAAACACATTATATACTGGCAGTAGCTGTACTACTATCATTGGCGGTAGTTTTTGCTTCTTGACAAGTTGACAAGCGTGCTCACCCTGTTTGGTCACGAGGAGATGCAACCATTCCGCAAGGACAGCAACACCTGTCTGTCGACAAGCGGCGTGCTTGCGACCGCTTTCAGCAGGTGCCACTGCCATCTGGCAAGACATCGAAACTAAGCCCTTAAACCCTAAACCCCAAGCCACCGAGGTTTGACTCCAAGCAGTGGATTCAAAAATATGAGGTGCGTTACCAGGTGCACTGACAGGCAACATCAGTCTCAAACTCAGTCATGCATCTCCGAGAGGACAACCCTAGCAAGATCCATCATGTATCAAATCCAAAGGTCAGATCGTCAAACAAGCGCCTGATGCAAAGCCCTTGCTTTGTGGCATCAGAAGAAGAGGAAATTTCCCTGTCATGACTCATGACTCGACCTCCTCAGCAGACTCATAGATGCCCTCGCGCTCTAACTCCATGCCGTAGAAAGTTCCTTAGGTATCTTTGAAACAGCACATGGTTGTGCGCGAAGCGGCTGCAGCGGGGCCGTCTGGCGCAGATTGTCTCTAACAAAACCTGTGTCCGAGAGGCGGCTGCCCAGGGCTCTCCAAGGCCCAGCATCCTGGCCATCACATACGGGGGTTTCCGAAATTAGGGGTACCTTTGTTGAATCCTTATTCAGGTCCTTGTTGTAAGGGAATCCTACTATGTGGGGAGGGGTCTATTTTAGGGGTCCCCTTTTTTCGTACACCCCCATATCATCGACCCCACCAAGCTCCCACTGTCCATGGGTTCTACAGCCACCAAAAAGCAGCAAACTCGTGGCGAAATTATGTAAATGCCGAGATTACGCGCCCTAGCCTTAGTAGGCAAACAATCATCCACAGTTGTGGTTGCTGGAGGACATCCACCCCTACGAAGCATAGAACTGATACTGCATCAAGCATTGTACTCAGGGATGTTGGGCTTGGTTTTGCACCAGTTTGCAAGTAGTGGCTTGAAAAGCTCGGGAATGTGGCAGCCCACACACGTATGGAGAACATCCCATGCCGTACTCATTTTGCAGTTTCGGTTGACTTCCCAACTTTTCCCGGCAGATTAGATGGCAACACAACATGCCAATCTTCCATGCTTGCTGTGTAGGCTGTGCTGAAAAGCAGGCTAGGGATGGCTCGATTCAGGGCTCGCAGCAGGCGGCATGTAGCGTCCAAGCTGCACCTGAGTCAAGGCAACCAGAGGTGCAGGTTTTTCTTTTTGCGTTTCTTTATTTTGTGTTTGCCACGCTTATTTGATGCCTCCAGACGAGTAGAAGGACAGTACAAGTATTGGGCGGCCAGCCCTGATCAACATGGCCCGATTGCTGTATCATCTGCAAACTGTACTATTGAAGCGGCATAAGAACACGAATGCTCAGGAATTGAGCATCGACAGGCTGGATGCTTCGAGACACAGTGTGCTGGCGTCGAGCATCATCCTTGGTTTCTGGCTGCCACGGGGTAACTGCTGATGTCTAACCACCACGAAGCAGTGTCGACATCCAATCTCCAAAGCCAGCCACCTTGGACCAAGGCGCGCTACCACAATGTATGGCCCCTCTGCCAGTTCCGCTAAAGAAGACCTCAGTGCAGAGGACTTTCAAGCAAATTGATACAGCCCGCACAAGGTCCCAACTTAGGGATGGAGAAGCATGTTGCCTTATGCCCTTCACAAGTATCACCAGAAGTGTAGCGCAAACAGCCCCTGCGGGCCACCCTCCCTCATCGAGCCATCGCTCCAGATTTCATCAGGAGTTTCATGCGTGGCCTCAACATGTAAACGGAGCGCCCTAAACCCTAAACCCTAAACCCTAAACCCTAAACCCTAAACCCTAAACCCTAAACCCTAAACCCTAAACCCTAAACCCTAAACCCTAAACCCTAAACCCTAAACCCTGCTTTGAGCCGTGTTGCTGCGAGGTCGTCTGCGCATTGCTGCGGCGGGCGGCTGAAATGCCTGCACGCTGGAAGCCCCAAGGTCCCCGCCGTTGCTGCCACCATCTACACTTGGAGGTTCAAGGGGAATGTGTAAGTAGGGTTCTAGGTACCCTAAACGGGATGATACGTATAATTACCATACTTCTAGCCCTACTTACAACTACTCATGAACCTCCAAGCAGGCATCCACCGCGTGCGAAAGCAACTGCTGCCCACGACCATGGCAGACAACTCCATCTGAGCTGCCCAAGTTTCGCAGCTTCCCCCCCCCCCCCCCCCCAACCCTAAACCCTAACCCCTAAACCCCAAACCCTAAACCCCCCACCCCCCCCCCCCCCCCCAAAAAAAAAAAAAACAAAAGGCAACAAGGCAACCTGCCAGGGTCCGCCGCCCAGCAGCCAGGGGCCGTGCCTTGCGGTGTGCGGCTTGCTTAAGGCATCCATGAGGGGATACTTGGAGGTTCAGGGTTTAGGGTTTAAGGTTTAGGGTTTAGGGTTTAGGGTTTAGGGATACTTGGAGGTTCATGGGTTATTCTAAGTTCTAGGTAGGGTTCTAAGTGCCCCAAGTGGGGTTCTAAGTATGATTCCCATACTTCTAACCCTTCTTATAGCTACCCATGAACCTCCAAGTACGCTCCAAAGGCATGGCTGGCTCTGTAGGCCCCTAAACCCTAAAACCTAAACCCTAAACCCTATTTAAACCCTAAACCCTACAGAAAGTCCATTTGGCGATGTCCCCTTCAGAAACACCGACAGCGAACGGAAGTCCAAAGCACAGTTGCCAGGTCTGGGCACCAATCTCTATTTGGGGGTTTCCGAAATTTAGGGTTTAGGGTTTAGGTTTTAAGGTTTAGGTTTTAGGGTTTCCGAAATTTAGGGGGTACCTTATTCTGCAGCACAAGCCCAGGACACCACCACACAAAACCCCCCCAGAACCACAAAACCCGAACCACGAAGCCCCCACAACCACAACCCCAACCCCAACCCCACACACCAAACACAAAGGTGTCCTTAATATGAGGGGATCCTACTGTTTTGGTGGCTCTATTTTCGGGGGTCCCTTATTATCGTAAACCCCCATTTGCCACTCAAACCATCCCTGCAATCGTTGTCCACTGATGGCTGATGTTGCTGAGTTGTATTTGGGCCAGGTGCTTAAGACACTCCGCTGGTGATCAGGTGCGCATCTCTGAAGTAGGTGGTCAGGCAGTACAGGGGTCAGATATACATATATATATATATACACACATATATATACGTGTATATATATATATACACATCTTAATGTATGAACTTGATAACCAAGCGACGGCTGCGCGAAATGCGCCAACCAACTGGAAACTCAGGGATTTCCGGTGACCAGTATCCATCCCCTGCATCAGGGTACACAGCGATCACAGCAGCTTGAATGCTTCGTCTTACTGCCAAGTCGTAGAGCTTACCAATAGTTCGCCAGGACTCTAACCACTTGTAAACTACATATAGTGGTATCCGAAATTTGGGAACCTTATTGGGGTCCTTTGCATAAGGGAATTCTGCCATGTAGGGGGGGGTCTATGTTAGGGGTCCCCTATTTTCGCAAACCCCCCAGTATCTTCCGGGCCTCTGCAGACTTCTAGCGCACTTTGCTGCGCTTTTGAGAGCTGTAGGAAAAGGCAGCAGCAGGGCCAAGCTCAAGTGCTCCCGCAAGGCAAGACTCACTAGAGCTATTTCACCGACTGCCGACTCAGCTCTTTAGTGGTGCTTAAGGGATGTACTGGAAAGACAGCTCTTGCAAAGAGAGCCAAAGAAACATGCAGGCTTGGATTACCTAGACTCCAGCACGAGGTGCACAACTGACAGTTGCCGTATCTGTGCGTGCTCTGTAGTCAGGGCCAGAGTGTAATCAGAGCGGCCAGGCAAAGACAACGTAGAGGCTCCCGAACAACACCTTAGCCAGCACTTGCGACAATGGTGCTTGAAGGTCCTCACCTAGACCCGAGGCCTGGTAGCCTTTAGCCTTAGAACAGCCTTCAGCCGCAACTTCTCGAGCGCAAGACTGATATTCTAAGTCTCCGGCGAGTACCGGGAAATGCGTCAGCAGCAATGGAGGCTGGGCGATCCTTGGGTGTGTTACAGTCTTACAGGCTTTACCTGAAAGGTCAACGTCCATTGCTTTTTTGAGCTCTGGCCAAGGTGCCAGGCTTCGACGGCTGCTGACAAAACCAATCCATTGTGGAGCAACTGCCAACGCAAGATCAGGGTTTACATGATTGCGAATGCAGTGCAAGCCGTGTCCACCAGCAGGCTAGTGAAGCTCTTCTATTCAGAACTCAGAGTGCTACTGTATGTCCAGGCAGCAGCAATGGCAACGCTCATGGCGTAGTGACCACAGCAGTTGCAAAGGCAAGTATGGGGCAGTTCTGTAATCTGGCATTCGTGCCCACCAACCGACGGACCTGTGGCTTGAGGCGGAGGATGCGCCGCAGCTTGAAGTCATCACCTAGCAGGACCCACGGACATGAACCAAAGCTCAGCAAGAGGTAGGGTTTAGGGTTTAGGGTTTAGGGTTTAGGGAGCAAGCCCCGAAACACCGGGACAGCTTCTCTTGCTGCCGATCGGCGCAGTTTCTTCAAGCCGGGTATCAGCACAAAGCTAACCACGATGTTCCTCGGCCATCTCAACTGAGCGTGAACGCATGTCAAGATACTATTACATACTGAGTGTATATATATATATATGAATATATAATATGAATATATAATAATAATAATAACAATAACAATAATAATAATAATATAATAATAATAAAAGAAATATGTATATATATATATATATACATGTGTATATCTACGGTTTGGTGTTTTACTCGTCAGGGCGAGGGTCACGAAGAACGCCAAGGGGAACAAAAGCTCCCAGGCGAGCTGCGTTGCCTCTGGATCGCGCGGGCTGCCATGAATATTCGCATTTCTCGGGCCCTGAAGCCTCGAAGGCCAACCTACAAGCACACACAAACTAAAACGAAAGGGACGCAACGCTGGTGTCTCTGCCGAGCCCAAAAACAACTCCTTAAACCCTAAACCCTTTTTGCAACGGGCTTTCTGTCACCTAAACCCTTAACCCTTAACCCTAAACCGCACACACTCATGTTCTCAAAGATCCGAGCCCCGGGCCATGCACAGCGATGGAGATGGGCTCCTTTACAAGTAGGGCTGAGCCTTGAAACTTAAATGGCAGATATGGTCAAGCGCTACGCGCCCCCCTTTCCCCCCCTTGTGGTGTGGTTGCGGGTCGGTTTTGGAGGGTTTGTGGGTTTTGGGGCATAGGGTTTGCCCCCCCGCCCCTCTCAGTGGTGCGGTTGTGGGTTGGCTTTCTGGTTTGGGGCTTAGGGTTCTAGGAACTTAGGGTTTTAGGGGGGTCCACGTTTTAGCGTGTTAAGTTTATGCTTTTAGGGTTTTAGGGTCATGGTCTAGGTGCTTTTTTCGCAGGGGGCCGGGAGGGGGGGGGGGCTGTTTAGGGGCTAGGGTTCTGGGTGCAGGGTTTTAAGGCTTATGCTTTCAGCGCTTATAGGGCTTTAGAGGCTTTAGAGCATATAGGGCTTGAGGGTTTAGGGTTTTATGGCTTGAGCATGAGGGCTTGAGGGGTCCCCTCAACCCTAAACTCTACCAACGGCGGACACGCCAGATGACCAACATGGCATCAACCCTGTGTTGCAGGCTTTGAAGTCAAAAGAACAAGCGCGCTACAGTCCAAGACCCTGTGCAGACCTCGACCAGCCCTGCAACGCGGCCAACACGAAGAATGCACCACTCACCTTGCAGTAGGGGTTTAGGGTTTAGGGTTTAAGGTTTAGGTTTTTGGATGTTTTGGGTTTTGTGGAGTTGTGCTTCTCTTCAATCTGCAAGCAGAGATGCTGTGCCTGCCGTTGCCAAGTACATTGACATCAGCGCGCGCGTAAGACAAGTAGGTAGGCGCTCGGACGCGAATTACGGCAAGTAAAGAGAGCAGCTTCGAAGTCAAGATCCAATAGCAATAATAATAATAATAATAAGAATAATAGTAATAATAGTAATAATAGTAATAATAGTAATAATAGTAATAATAGTAATAATAGTAATAATAGTAATATTAATAATAAAACTAGTATTAATACTAATTTCGCCAGCGTTGGAGCTCCAAGTCGTCCCATTGCCAAGTGGCGGTGTTGCTCCAAATCGTGAAGGTGCTCCAACGCCTCTGTTGAGATTCGCGGTCGGGGATGTGGGTTTCACAGTGCTTTCTATTTCCTGGTCTCAGCTGCCATCTTCCTCCTTTTCTTTTCTTGCGCGCGCTAGCCGACTACTGCAGCACCAGGATCCTGAAGCCTGAACCGCGTTCAGGGTTGAGGGTTTCGGGTTTCGACTCTCACACTCAGTGGTATGTGCAGGCGAGGCAACGAGTAGCAGGTCGAGGGTTCTTTTTCCATGTCGTGCTGTCAAGACACAGGAATGTCGATGCCCTCTACTTAAAGAGTAGCCGTCATACATTTGGAGTCGCAGAGCACGAAATCACGTGGACCCGGCCCTTAGGGCGGGAACTTTCACGTGCACTAACCAAGCTGCGGGAATCTCTTTAACACCCATAAGCTGGAACAAAAAATTGGCTGTCTACGACCGCCTCTAAACAACCTTGACACTAGGCAGCAGCCGAACTCTCTCCTCCTCCTCCTCCTGCTCAATCTGCTGGCGGGCTTTGCCGTAGAGGATCCCACCCAAGATGGACAAACAGGCACCCAAAATCTGGCCGTGGGTCAGCACCTTGGTGTGCATGCCGAGGGCCTCGATGGCGATGATAACGAACTTGTTTGCATTGACCATGACCAAAAAGCTCGTGGCGCTGATCAGGCTTTGGGCCCAGATTCCCGAAAAGCCGATGGAGAGGCCGATCACACAGCTGAGGCCGATGTAGACCTTGTCCAGGCTTGTGAGGTGCGCATAGGCCCCCGGGAGCTGGGACATCTCTCCCGTGAAGTAGGCGGCCAGGCCTACGGGGATTAAGCCCATCATGTTGTTGATCACCGTGATGCCAGTCTTCGAGATGTCGACTGGGTGTTGGTCCTTGGACAAGAGCAGCCTCTGCAGCAAGCGATCGCACACAGCCACCACACTGTTGAGCATGACCCAGCCGATGCCCTCCCAGTGCTCGGCATGGAGCTGAGAGACGTACATCGCTGCCCCGGCCATCATGACAAGGACGGCGCCAATCATCTGCCCGCTGATGCGAAGCGGCTCCGGGTAAAACCGCTCAATCAGCAGGGAGAAGAGTGGCGAGGCACTGCGGAGCACGATGACTAGGGACATGGGCGCTTTCTTCAGGGCCAGGATCGAGGTGAGTAGCATCCCACAGAAGGGGGGCACCACAGCGCACCAGCGAAGGAAGTCTCGCATGGAGCCAATGTGCAAGTAGGGGAAGCCGAAGATCAGCATGAAGAAGCCGGCGAAGAAGAGCTGCAGCCAGACCAAGCTACACTCCAAGGGCAGGGCCTGGATCGCCAACTTGTTGAAGAGGAGCATCCCGACGCCCGAGAAGCAGTTGCACATGCATGCCACGAGGATCTCGAACTGCTCAGTCTGCCGGGGGGCCATGGCTCCAAGGTCTTCGGTAGCGGATAGTCGTTACGAAGGCAGCGTGCTAAGACTTGGGCCAATCAGGCTTAGAGCCAAAGGGTTTCGGGTTTAGGGTGTAAGGTGGTCCACACACTGAACATTCAACGTGGCCTTTGCTTCTTTGGATACAAATAAGCAAGCTCCGGTTGTACTTCACAAGAAATGAGGGAATTGTTTTGAGCGTAACGTCGCCAACGAGTAGCAGGTCGAGGGTTCTTTTTCCATGTCGCGCTGTCAAGACACAGGAAAGTCGATGCCCTCTACTTAAAGAGTAGCCGTCATACATTTGGAGTCGCAGAGCACGAAATCACGTGGACCCGGCCCTTAGGGCGGGAACTTTCACGTGCACTATACCCAAGCTGCGGGAATCTCTTTAACACCCATAAGCTGGAACAAAAAATTGGCTGTCTACGACCGCCTCTAAACAACTTTGACACTAGGCAGCAGCCGAACTCTCTCCTCCTCCTCCTGCTCAATCTGCTGGCGGGCTTTGCCGTAGAGGATCCCACCCAAGATGGACAAACAGGCACCCAAAATCTGGCCGTGGGTCAGCACCTTGGTGTGCATGCCGAGGGCCTCGATGGCGATGATAACGAACTTGTTTGCGTTGACCATGACCAAAAAGCTCGTGGCGCTGATCAGGCTTTGGGCCCAGATTCCCGAAAAGCCGATGGAGAGGCCGATCACACAGCTGAGGCCGATGTAGACCTTGTCCAGGCTTGTGAGGTGCGCATAGGCCCCCGGGAGCTGGGACATCTCTCCCGTGAAGTAGGCGGCCAGGCCCACGGGGATTAAGCCCATCATGTTGTTGATCACCGTGATGCCAGTCTTCGAGATGTCTACTGGGTGTTGGTCCTTGGACAAGAGCAGCCTCTGCAGCAAGCGATCGCACACAGCCACCACACTGTTGAGCATGACCCAGCCGATGCCCTCCCAGTGCTCGGCATGGAGCTGAGAGACGTACATCGCTGCCCCGGCCATCATGACAAGGACGGCGCCAATCATCTGCCCGCTGATGCGAAGCGGCTCCGGGTAAAACCGCTCAATCAGCAGGGAGAAGAGTGGCGAGGCACTGCGGAGCACGATGACTAGGGACATGGGCGCTTTCTTCAGGGCCAGGATCGAGGTGAGTAGCATCCCACAGAAGGGGGGCACCACAGCGCACCAGCGAAGGAAGTCTCGCATGGAGCCAATGTGCAAGTAGGGGAAGCCGAAGATCAGCATGAAGAAGCCGGCGAAGAAGAGCTGCAGCCAGACCAAGCTAAACCCTCAACTGATCATGTAGACGCAGGAGTTTTGGCTGCACAGACGCAAGCTGCACGCCGATGGGCGCACACCAAGTTGAACCGTTCACGGCACATATGGCCCATGTCTCCCCTCGGGGCGGGCGGGCGGGCAAATTCAGCTGCTTCACCTGAAACAAGCGGGTGTACCTGAAGCACTAGCTCACAAGACCTGGAACGCTGGCAAGCAACAGAGGCGCAAGTCAGACATGCTCAACGAGGGTTACGCGTGTGCCTTGGCCTAGCCCACCAAACCCCAAGGCAAACACCACAACCCTCAACTGATCATGTAGACGCAGGAGTTTTGGCTGCACAGACGCAAGCTGCAGGGCCGCCCTGGCCCAAGAGCAACGAGCCCCAAAGCACCGCCGCAGCCAAAACCCTGCCATGAGCAAACGACCCCGCCCAAGCCTCAGCGCGAATGGCAAGGGCTCAGCTGCTTCACCTGAAACAAGCGGGTGTACCTGAAGCACTAGCTCACAAGACCTGGAACGCTGGCAAGCAACAGAGGCGCAAGTCAGACATGCTCAACGAGGGTTACGCGTGTGCCTTGGCCTAGCCCACCAAACCCCAAGGCAAACACCACCACTCCAAGGGCAGGGCCTGGATCGCCAACTTGTTGAAGAGGAGCATTCCGACGCCCGAGAAGCAGTTGCACGTGCATGCCACGAGGATCTCGAACTGCTCAGTCTGCCGGGGGGCCATGGCTCGAAGAAGGTCTTCGGTAGCGGATAGTCGTTACGAAGGCAGCGTGCTAAGACTTGGGCCAATCAGGCTTGAGCCAAAGGGTTTCGGGTTTAGGGTGTAAGGTGGTCCACACACTGAACATTCACCGTGGCCTTTGCTTCTTTGGATACAAATAAGCAAGTTCCGGTTGTACTTCGCAAGAAATGAGAGAATTGTTTTGAGCGTAACGTCGCCTTCTTATGCCTGATCAAAATCAAGACACAAGAAGCCGCCCCTCAAAAACTGGATAAACTGATGTTCTTGTTCCATCTGCTTGTGGGATAGAGCTATTCTCCTTGTAATCATGAATGCCCTGCTCGTCTTCGCAATGCTATTTCTAGAGCTTGTCCTATTCTTCATATCAAAGAAGAGAACCACCCTGCCCCTCTTAGAAAAAACAACGGCCCGAGGACGACAAACAAAAACGACCGCCTGAACGAACAAGTACGTTTGCACAACCCAACCGAATTTTTGCCCAAGTCCACGCCTGTCACTGCTTCGCGCATGTCTCTTGCTTAAATGCCCCGCCCCCGCCGCGCCTAAACCCCAAACATGAAAAAGCGCATCAAGATGCGGCGCAACGAGCCGACGCGGGACAGTCTTTTCGGCATTCTCCTAAGGTCGGCAGGCCTCCGCAGACGAGTTTTCGCGCAACAACCACCCGCAGAAGTTCGGAAGTACATGCAAACCCATCAGAATACATCAGGCGCTCAGTGCTCAGCCACCCACTTCCCCTTCCTAAGATGGCCTCAGATACCCATCCTAACCATGAACAGCAGACTGTAACAGACTTCAAACACTCTGTGCTCACCACCACCTTGGTTTCGTTTTTGCGCCGCCGATTGCTTAGTTTTTGTTTCAAGATGCGGCTTTATGTCGCCTCGAGCCTGGTTGAGACACCAATAGCAACAAAGTAAGCGGTTTAGGGTTGAGGGTTCATTGATTAAGCATGAGGTCGTGCCCGACATGCTTGAAACGGACACTGAACTTCTGAAACACCCGGTGCACACTGCTCGCTGCACAGTGCCGTCTAAGCTTGGCACTGGCGATGTAAGAAGGACCGATGCACTGTGGCAATCTCAGGGCGACCAGGGACATGATAGCGAACCACCAGGGGGTTCTTGTCCAAGTAGTGCCAAACGAGCAAGCTCACTTGCCTGAAGCAGCGCGTGAGACTTGAAAGTCTGATTTGCCCTGGTGCCTTGGGATGTTCCCTTATACGAACAGTCCTTAATGGGGACTATAGCAGGGGGTACGACAATCCCTATTAGTATACAAACATCCCAACTGGTGCCTAGCTCTTGTGCGACTGTGCGCTGCCGCCACGCCGCCCGACCGCCATGACAGAGTTGTAGCACAGGACGACAGGGCGTGACCTTTCCACGTGATTCCATGTGTGCTGCACGTCCGCTGCTATGTCTGCAGAAGACATCAGACCCTAAACCCTAAACCCTAAACCCTACGGTCACAAGAAAGGACCGGCATTCTCAGCGGCCAGCATCGCAGAGTAGCAGCCGTAGCTGCCCCACTCTGACGACAACCTGTGCGGCAAAAGTGCCAGTAGAGTCTGCATCGAGCCCACATTAGCCACGCATCTCGAGACGACGTCCCCCCCTCAAAAAAAACAACTACACAAATAAGTCAACAAATAAATATAAATAAATCATATAGATGAATAAACAAACAAACAAACAAATAAATGAATAAATAAATAAATATAAATATAAATATAAATATAAATATAGATATAAATATAAATAAATATAAATATAAATAAATAAATAAATAAATATATATATATATATATATATATATATATGAAGAGGTGCAGTTCTATGCTAGGGTGTCCCGTGTTCAACATCTAGTTGTTGGAGCTTAGCGGCCACCAGAGAGATGTAGCGATCATCCCAGCGGTGATGATCAAGCTCACGCCGAGATTGATCATCTCAGCTCGCGGAGTACTGTTTAGGGTTTAGGGTTTAGGGTTTCGGGAGAATACTCTATTCCAGGGGCGGCCTCTTTTCAAAAAAAGACTGACGGGCCCGAGCTCACGGGCCCACTGGATCACGTTCTTGCTCGTGAAAGGATTACCAGCCCTGCCACAGTGCAACATGCCCCTGCTGCCTGCATCTGTCCGGGGCTATACTGTACAATGCTGTTTAACAAGTCGTTCAGGCAGCACATGGATATGAATGCATGCGGTGCGCTTCTTGATCGTCCCTCTAACGGTGAACTCGAATTGGGTTGCACCTAGTAAACCCAAGCTAGAATTGCTAACTTCCTCCAAGTAACATCGCGAGTCTCCAGCTCAAGGCCAGAATAGCGCGTCATGCTTGGCAGCAAGCGCACTGTTCGCCCGCAGGCGCTCAAATTCTTGATATGTGTATCTATGAGTACATGGTGTACCAGGGTTTGTCCAGCTCAGAACATGGCAAACGCCATGTGTTGATGCAATTTGCTTTGAAAGCCGACCCATGCAACAACAGTGAAACGTTTCACATATGGCCGTGTGACGATCCCCCCGAAACAAGCCTCCTGAGCCCCATGCTTGGGCATGCTTTGAACGTGGAATCTCGTGCATCTGCGACTCATCTGAACCGAGACGGGCGTTCGTCGAATCTTCACAGGGCATCACAGGGTTCTATGTTCTAGATTCGAGTTGGGGGCGGGGGGAACTGGAATGAACCCAAAACGCATGAGCGTCCGAGGAGGACCCAACCGCTCTATAGGGAAGTTGTGACACCGATGTAATTGCATCCTCGGATCGTTGACATGAAGCAGATTTGCATGCTGGTTAGAGGAGCTACAGGCAAGCTGTTTCTGAAAGACATACCGCAACCCCGGAAATGTACCGAGGAGGGGCAAACCCAAAAACTACTAAACCCTGATTAAACCCCTTATTGAACCCTTAAGAAACCCGTATTTCGCTCTTATTATTAGACCCTTAGCAGACCCTTCTTAAACTGGCCCTTCAAGATGATATCTGGCGCACCGAAGGCTGAGAGGAGAATCGGAAAGGGGAAGCCAACCTGAGGCGTGGCGTCTTCCACTCATTGTGCGCTAAACAGGCTGCTCTAGTGTCACTCTTTGATGCAAGAGAGCCTGCACCTGCAGGGTTTCTCGGGTGATGGCGTGCGTGATGGTACCCGGCCTCCTTGATGAGCTTCTGGTTGGCAAGAATGACCTGCTGCAGTTGCGAGCAGCAGATTATTTTCATCTGCACCTGAACCCGACACAGCGCAGTGGTAAGGCCTGCCTGCACAACACACACACACACTCTAGCTTGTCATTGCTCACTACTGCAGGAGAGTTTACAGTTTAAAATTGCATCACAAGTTGTTGTTGTGGTTCGTGCAAGCTACCCCTTCTTGAATCAGCTGCCCTCAGGCAGGACGTGAATGGGGGATGTAAAGGAAGTTTGCTCTCGAGATCTGGCAGCCTTGCTTAAGTTCAGGCCACAGTGTGCCAGTAAAGAGAGTACTCAGGCCCCTCAGGTGTCTTGGGTCGTGATATTGCATCAGAGGGGCCCAGGAAGAAGACAGCATGTAAACCTTGGCCGGCGAAGTGAAAGAGATCCGGTGGATGCAGTGCGTAAGGACCCCTAGGATGCGTGCGCTTGGGCTAGGAACACATGCGCATGCTACTTGCTGCATCTTGCTGCACCATCTTCGCCATGCCACGAGGCACGACAAGGGTATCGCCAGAGCGCTCACGATGCTGGAGGTTGATGCCTCATTTGCAAATTCATGCTCTGGCGGCCCTGGCGAGTTCCCTCTGGGTCTTGCGGCCGTGCTGCCGTTCGCAGCCAAGACAGCAGCATCTTTTTGGTGGCTTTTCGATCAGCAGCGTTCCATGGCGATTGCCATCGAGAAGACATTCGTTCGACACGCCCAAAACAACAACGAAACCAGCAGCACCAACCTGCTAATCTTGCCAGCTGCAACAGAAACCATGTGCTGGAACTCAAATCGGTCGTGTTATGGCTTTGGCTGTCTGACAAATCGTTGTCCGCACGCTTGTTGCTCGTTTGCCTCAGTATGGTCAAGGTTTTGAAAGGGCTGACCTAGTGCAGGCGCAAGTTGCAGATGCTGTAAGCACAGTGTCACGATCAAACGTTTCGAGGCTCAGCCTACGCATCCTCAGCACATGCAGCGCCACGCATGTCCAGAAATCTAAGGCGAAGGAGGAAACCATGACTAGGAACTGCCAGCAGGACCTCGTGAGTGTCAGTGGTGCAGTTGCAATGCAACACCTTACCCATAAGCACATGCCGGCCGACATCCTTGCCGTTTGTAAGAAGTGCCTCAGAGCAAACGGGGGTATGTCTGGAAAGCTGCAGTGGGTGAAAAGGGGGCTGCTTGTTTTGTACTAGCCTTTGTTTGTTTTTTTTTTGGGGGGGGGGAATTCATCCTCATAAGTCTTTGTAAGAACTGCAAGGACACCCCAATCAAAACAACACTAGAATAGATTCATGCAGTCTCAAGTATAGACCCAACAGCTTGTAGATGAAACAGAAATCGGGGGCGTGGGGCGGGGCCTTTAGTTGCCGGCCACTACTGATGCCAGTTCTGCACACCCTACCTGCACCGGATTTGCAAAGGTTCCAAGAACTGTGGCTTGTGAAGCCGAGAGGCTACCATCAGAGGTGTTCCCAGCACCTAAAAAGCCGGCAAGCCACTTCCACCTCAGATCTTTATGCAGCTCCGTGTGCAAAGAGGACACAAAGAACATTCTGCGGCAAAGACGAGCCGTGCAGCGTTCATGCACGGCCAACCCCCCCCCCCTTGATATTGAAGCCCTCCACAAAGCCTTGTGCACAAGGTCCCTCTCTCTTTTGCCACCCTCCTTATTTTAGTGGATTTAAGGGGTATAAGGAGGGACCCCCTAGAAGGGACCCTTAGTCTTCTTCTTGCTCTGTATACCCCTGATATGTAAAAGTCCCTCCTTCAGTCCCTTGAAGGATGGGACTTAGGGTTTGGGGGAAGGGATTCGAAGGTCAGCCGTCGGCCCCTGCCTCGGCCCAGCTTCAGCGTAGGTGTTTGAAGGCTCAATGGCGACGGATACAGAGACACAGCTCGACTGTCAGCATGGGAACATGTTAGAGATGAACGGAGATGATTGGGTCTGCACCTCCGCTCCTCCCTGCTTGTTACTCTCAGCTTGGCTCTCAGGAGTTGTGCTGCTTAACCGGCTTAACCCCATTTCGCTCGACAGCGCCTTGCACACGAGGCCCTCGAGACCACCTTTTTCAACGCCCACAGCGCAGTTAGAGAGCCTCGGCTCTGGGGGACGCCGCCGTCATCCCAGCCTGGGCGATTTTGAGCCTCTACCAAGTCGGCATTTGTTCTGCCACCCTCTCAGCACGACATCTGGCCTCTCAGCGTCAGATGTCGTTGAAATCATCTGCCTTGAAAACGTAACGGCGCAGCGTGTCGCCGCGGACACAGTTGTGAATGGGGTACAGCGGGAACACCCGAAGGTTTGAGCACGAGTCTGATAGCAAACGTCCGACCTTGCATTCCAAGTCGCAGTGGGGGGTGGTGTCATCACCTCCAAAGTTGGTGTTCCCTGCGCACTTTGATGCAGATGCTAGGCAGAGAACGTGCCATGCTGTTGTAGTGGATGTGCATGGGAATTGAATACAATGAGCACCAAGTATGGAGCACAGGCTACAAGCAAGCGCCATTGAATCATTGATCGTGTTTGGTCTGCCCTCCTTGTCCCTGCCCCCTCCAAGGATGACACAACGAGGAGTTCACCAAATATAGGGGTACCCTTAATAACGTAAGATTCCCCAAATAGTATGATCCCATTGATATTGGCGCCACAAAAAGGCACCCTTATTTGCGGAACCTCCATATGTAGGTGCAACGTGTGAAGCAGGTTCAATCGGCAGCACCATCAGACCCCAGCAGGTGACCTTCGCGAGCTTGCGAGAAGGCGCTGGGTCGGATCCAGCCTTGAAGTCTTGCATATTCCTCTTCCACCCTGTTCAAGCTGAAGTCTTCTTCTACCCTGCAGAGATGGAAAATGCTGCAATATGCTGCAATGCAGGTGGTTGGTCCTGGGAAGCTATCCTAACCCCTAAACCCTAAACCCCCCAAACTCCAAACTGCCTTCTTCCGCCGACAATGGCCTGAGACGCCGACCGGCCGCCGCCTTGGCAAGCCTGCCTTGGCCTGCTGCGATGAGATTTTCGAGTTACTACGAACTTGGGGGTGAGGGCCTGGGACGAAAGCTAGTTAAGGTAACCCCACGGAAGAGCTTCCGTCAACATGGCATCAACTACGTAGAAGGACAAGCACACGCAAAGGCAGCAGGTCGTGTCACCTTTTTTCTGGCGCAGGTGCCAATATTGACGTGGCATTCCTTCTGGCAATGTGTTGGTGTGTTGCTTTGCTCTGCGGTGTTTTAGCATCTTCCGGAGGGCTCTTTTTTGAAACGCATGACACCACAACAGATGTTGCACTCACCAGGGGAACCTGTCCAATCCAGCTTTGAGGGACGGCGGACTCAAGTCAACATCAAGGCTTCTGAGTCTTTTCTTAGGGGGCTTTTCTGTTAGCATCTTCCGGAGGGCTCTTTTTTGAAGCGCATGACACCACAACAGATGTTGCACTCACCAGGCGAAGTCTGAAGTCTGTCCAATCCAGCTTTGAGGGACGCCAGACTCAAATCAACATCAAGGCTTCTGAGTCTTTTCTTGGGGAATTGGGGGGCTTTTCTAGGGCCAGGGATCCACAGAAAACGGCGTTCATTTGCACCCAATATACGAAAGAAATGAACGCCAGCCTGTTTCCCCAAAACCTGTGTTTGCCACCCGGAAACCGACCGGGTTTGCTGCGTTTCGTGGCGGAGCCTCCGGGGGCCCTGTATACCCATCAGGTTGTAAGCTTCGCTTAAGCAAGATACTCCGCTAGCTCCTCAGGGGCTAGCTTTCGTGATTGGGATGTTCCCCCCTTCTCACAGTCCTTGAAAGGCATAACAGTTCTTAATAGGCATTCTAATAGGGGGGCATTCTAATAGGGGGGGTACTAGAATCCCTCCTGTTAAGGACTGCTAGTATGAGGGGGGGGAGCATCCCAGACAAAGCGCATCAAAACCCTCAACCTCTCAAGCTCTACAGGAACCAAGACGCTGGGGGAGCCTCCGTGATTTCGACCTTCGGTCCTTACCAGTGGCAGTGGATGAGCTTAAACAACCCATTGAGGAATCGCTCGCAGTGCCGCTTCGGATGGAAGCGTTCGGAGTCGGGACTCACCCAAACTTGGCCCCCTGCGGAGCAGACCCCTTGTCAGGGCAAAGCTCTTTGAGAAAGATGCCGGCTTTGACAATGGATCTTTCAATCAGCGTGTTTCAACCTCTCCTCCTCACTCACCACCGACCCAGGCACATAGACGAGTCACCGGCGTGTCACCCAGGTTTCACATGTTCCTATACTCCCCCTAGAACCTTAATGACAATACTATTTTAAATATCCTCTTGCGTTTTATATAAACAAAAAATAAAAACTTATTCCCAAGGGGGATATGCGTTCGGCTTAGTCTTGCCATTCAAAACGTGCCGTGTGCCTGCCACCAGGGCCATCGGCAAAGCGTCTCAGCTGCCCAGACTCGAAGTCCTAGGGTTTAGGGTTTAGGGTTTAGGATTTAGGGTTTAGGGTTTAGGGCTTAGGGTTTAGGGTTTATGGAATCATACACAAGCAAGACTGTGGCAGTGGCCCAGCAAGGGGAGCTCGAATGAGAAGCGCGTGCTTTGTGCTTTGCGGTTTTCGGGGGTCAGCGGCTCGATTTAGTCCACTCTGGCGATGACAGAACCCGCGCTTCTCAAGGCGTGGTGGGTTGGGGACTGTCCTTTTGCTCCGCTGCCTTCTGCATATGATCTCCTTGCTATCTGGCCGCGAGGTCTCTCAGAGAGCTTTTGGCGTTCTTGGCCACACATGGGCAGCAGCTGAGTCTTGGAGTGATGCGACGCGGTGCAACGCCACATCCGCATCGTCTCATATTCTTAATCCCCTCCTTAAACCCTTCAAGTTCAGGGGGTCATTGAAACTTCGAGTTCAAGGGTCAAGGAAGGAGTGCTCGATCGGGTTCCGTCTCAAAGGTGACCCTTACTGCTGCCTGCCCGGCATTTGTGTCAGAGGCTTGTTTGACTGCGAGCGTCACGAAGCCGTTTGACAAGAAAGTGCCGAGATCCAACTCTGTACAGCATTTCACTTTCACACAAGAGGAAACGGATCCAAACCGGCGCTTCTCTGGCACGACGCTGCCGCGAGACAGTATGTCGGTATGGGGCTTTGCGATTCGTTGCCTAAACCCTAAACCCTAAACCCTAAACCCTAAACCCTAACAAGTCCAAGTGTCGAAGCGCCGGCACTAATTGCTATGCGTGCCCATGCTGTGCGAACAATCCTACTGAAGCGGATCCGCCCAACTTCCCCCGAAGGCCAAATTCAACCGATGTTGGCCCCCAGCTGGCAGAAAGAAATCCCTAAACCCTAAACCCTAAACCCTAAACCCTTTGGGAAGTTAGGCCCCGGAAACCGATTAGAGCATGGGTGAAACTCTCAAAACTCTTCCGGCGGTAAGCGCCTCTCTAACACCCATCCACTGCGCATTTAGTGAGAATGATGCGAGTGATGACCAGCACACACCAAAACGGCTGAACAAACACTGCAAGCATAACCTTATTTGTATTTGGATCCGTAAATCAGTGGTGGCCACTCGGTCTCGGTCCGTATGCAAAGACGTCCGTAAAACAGCAGGTGCCAGAGGTGATTCGTAGGGGGCAAGTGGCCTTCTACTATTCATCAACTCCCCACCTACTTATAAACTCATGAAAATTATTAAGAGTTGCGTACATCCGTGTAGAGTTGGCGTGCCATGCTTCTATGTCACGCGACTTTTTCAGGGGGCCATACCTAGCAAAGCTGCTCAAGGCCACACGATCTGAGCTCAGCCATGAAACTCGGACACGATCGTGGGCGTGGCCTGTGCAGGACTGCTAACAACAAGGAAAGCTTGGGGGGACGGCAATGGTTGATAGTGATGGCATAGTCAAGACTGCAGGGCCAAAACTCCAAAGCTAGCAGGGTCACACGTAGACTGCGAGAGCACACGCTACACTGCTACACACATGCCTGGCAGCATCACCATGGAATGGCACACTGTGAGCAAGCAGCCAAGCGTGCAAGCAAGTGAAGGAGCGAGCAAGCGCCTGTGCAAACGTGCAAACAGGTAAGTGCACAACCGCCCCCCCCCCCCCCCCCCCCCGCACTCTCATGGGGATGTGACTTGACACTTTAAAACTTTTCAATTTGGAAATGAGAACCCCTTGAAAACATCGGTTTCCTGTGAACCTTTCAGCGGTCCGCCTACTTCTGCCGCCGGAGTGCTGTGAACCTCCTCCCACAGCGGGCGGATGCGCACGTACCCAGTTCCTTTTCTTAAAGCATCTCTGCCCCGAACCCCTGAACCTGTCAGTTGGGACATCTCCTGCCTTGTTTGAATCCCCCTGGATAGAAAGTCGCTGATTTTCAAGCTGCTGGGCATGCTCCCCCCTCCCCACCCCCTTGTCCACACTTCCCTCACACCTCCGTCACGTCGTGATCTGACGAGATGCCGCCTGCCCCCATGCCTCCGCGGACCCCCGTCGACATTAATGTCCAAAACTCCACCCTCTCCTGTCAGTGCACTCTCCTCTCCGAGGCCGTCCCCTGTCCGCGTTGTGTCTGTCGCCTCTCCCGGACTCTCCCGTCGAAACGTTCCGTCCATGTTGTGTCTGACCCGCCTCCTGGGTGGACCGTGCCCTTCTGTCAGCCGAACATCACGACCCCCTCTCTTTATTCTCACCATTTCTCACCTCGTCAAAACAGACTATCGCGCTCCCCCCCTGTCCCTCCACCTTTGTCCACACGGGCCGTTTCCCTCCGAGCCCTCTCCTCCACCAACCTCCGCTGCGCCATCTCCTCCGTTGACCGTCTCCTCTTCGCGGCCTCTATCGTCGGAACGCGATCCGATATCGCTCCTTCCGCGGTGAGGCACCAAGCGAGAACGGAAGGCTTTCCGAAAACATCCCCAGAGCCCTCAACCCGTGCAGTGGGACGGTCTAGGACAGAAAGCAAGCCCATGCAGCGAAGCAGAGGCCTCGCTAGGGCACTGTTCGTGCCCAAAGGCACCTGGCAGGCCGGCAGGGTTTAGGGTTTAGGGTTTAGGGTTTAGGGTTTAGGGTTTAGGGTTTAGGGTTTAGGGTTTAGGGTTTAGGGTTTAGGGTTTAGGGTTTAGGGTTTAGGGTTTAGGGTTTTTTTTTGCCACCCGCCTAGCAGACCCCCTCTGGGATCACTCCGCAGGGAACAATCGTGATCTCTCGTATGTGTCTTCAGCAAAAAGGGCCCCGAGGCATCCCTGTCACCCTTTCCTCACAACAACAATAGGCTAGCACACAAGCAAGACGACGGGTGGGGGTGCGTCCAGGCCGGGTTCTTCAGGCCACAGTCGTCACTCCATTGGTGCGGCGCGCGACCTGTAAAGTTTGCACCATACGGGGGATCAGGAGAGCGCACGTTCATGAATACGATCACGATGGGCCAATATGTGGCGTTGGAACTATTTGGTTGGGCTTCAATAGTATGGAACACCTGCTGCTGGGGCGGTTGGCGTAGTTCGGGTCGGATGGTCATCCATACGTTGGGTTTGACGGTGACGGATGCCGCGAAGTCCGAGCCGCGGACGTCAGATGGGGCTACGCTAAGGGCAACGTCGTCATCCATGACCATGTATCTCATCGTGACCGACTGCGTTGAGGCGAACTGGAGTCGCATCTTCAGGCTCCCGCCGAGCACTCTGGACGGTTCTCCCCCCATGGTTATCTCAGAGGTTGGCATTATCGTCGATCTGCTGGCGATGTTCCCGGTGTCAGTTGTGTATATGTTCTGGCCAATGGCGGAGGACGAGCCGAAACTTTGCATGTTGACCGCGGCGGGCTGTCCAATTGTGTATGACTCGAAATCGACAGCCACATCGCTCCCATCTTTTTCACGGAACAGAAAAACTGTCTTCGTCTCGTTGTTCGGCCAGTACATGATCCATACTTTGTCCAGCCACGTGGGATGAATGTCAAAGTACTCATGTGCCCTGATGTCCTCATGCCTGGTTAGCATTCGGTGAGGGGGAACGCGCGCGAGTGCGTATTGCCTCTTCCGTTGCCCAGGCTGACTCGAGACGGCGCCTCGCTGGGCTTGCCTCTGAGGCCGTGGCTGGGCTTTGGGTTTGGCTGTAGCCCTTGGTTTGTCTGTTTCCGACTGGTGTTTCCGCCTCATCATCTCCGCGGCGCTCGGTCTCGACTTGCGCTTGGGCTGCCTTGCAGCGGCCTTTGGCTGAGCTCCAGATCGTCGAGACATAGAACCTAAAGACCTTCGGCGGTTGATGCCGGATTGATACCAACTTGGCTTTGATGGTCTCCAGGAATTCCCCTTTCAGTGCCCCTTCGACAATAGCCGAAAGCAACTCTGGGGCGTGTTCCTCAAGGAGGTTCTCGACCTCCTCTTGAACGTGTTCCCACTCCGTGATGACCGAGTGTTTATACACCTGAGTGTATAGAACTACTGGCGGTTTCTGGCAGATACAATTGAGCGACTAAAGCAGTCTCACAGCGTTAATGCAAAGTGGCGCGGAGTGCCTTGAGCCAAAATGGCTACAGGCTTTAGGGTTTAGGGTTTGGGGTTTAGGGTTTAGGGCTTAGGGTTTAGGGTGTAGGGTGTAGGGTTTACTGCGAGATATAAGCTAGGCCTGATGCGGTGTACGAGACATTGCAATCGATGTAGTCATACTAGCAGCTGGCTTCTCTGACATCAGGGCGCGAGAAATACACATCACCCCATTGTGGACGCTACATAGTGGGAATACACATCAGCGGCGGAATTACACATCAGGACACAGCAATCCCCAAGTAGACGCTGGAATTTAGGCAAACAGCCAACTTGGGTCAAACTGCCGGATTTACTGCGTTTTGAGCATGTGTTTATTGGATTTTGACTATGTTTCAGCAAGCTAATCACCAGGGAGACACTCGAAAATCAACGAACTGAGGGATCCCAAATTCGATTAAACTTAAACTGCCGCGGGGTTGGTCGAGTTGTCGCGGCGGCGATCAGGGTGACCGAGACCACCCCCAGTAATCATCCGTTACTTAACTTGCAACTCCCGAAGACATGTAGCAGCCTGCACGACGCTGACTTCGACACATCAGGACTTCGACACATCAGGACATGCACTCTGCTGAACACAGTTCCCCAATGTGGACGCAGATGGATGTGTCGGGTTTTGGGCTGAGGGTCTAGGGTTGTAAGCACTGCCAACATGCAAAAGACAATGTAGACGCTGTGTACAGGACGACGAGGGCGACTTCGACACATCAGGAGATATACTCCGGGGAGCGCCGTTCCCCAATGTGGACGCCGATCGATGCGTAGAAGAACCGAGCGATGCGAGATAAAGCGACTACATGTATGTAGTACTGACCCGACTTTGCACTCTTCGTGGGGGCCGCGGGGATGTTTAGGGTTTAGGGTTTAGGGTTCAGGGTTCAGGGTTTCGACTCTCACACTGGCGTAAGCGGGCGAGGTAAGTCCTGTCGAGATCTCTAGGGTGGGTGCATTGACCACCAGTAATGAACCAACCGGGGTCAGCATACCCGCCTCCTACCACTATCGGGTGTACAATTCTGAGCCATATCACCGAAGAGCTGACCCCTGATCGATCCCAAACAAACTCAGAACAAACTGGTGCGTGTCCATTGGCCAACACAAGTTCTTTGACTCAGTCGGCGTGTCCAACAGAGGGGCTCAAACCATGATCGCTAACAGTATTTTAGGGTTTCGGGTTTAGGGACTTGAGCACTGGAATCCTGCAAAAATGCTGAGGTAGTCACCATCAGGGTCCAAGCTGAAGTGTCGAACCACACTGGCTGCAGCTATTCCGACGCCGCCTATGCCACAGACCTGCGCAGACTGAGCTTCCATTAGATCATATCATTGGACTTGGCAGCTTCCAGCGCGAAGGTTTCATGGACTCCTCCCCCCCCCCCCCCCCGCAGAGTTCAGGGAGGTTTCGGATACTTTTCGGAGGTGAGGATTTGGAATTGATTGAGTTGTGTCGTGGATGGTGATCGAATAATAGATGGATATAGGCGGGAGTATTTCTGATTTGGGACTTTGTCTTCGGAGGGATTTGTTGAAGATTGCTGGGGGTTGCTTGGATTTGGATGCCTTGGGGGATGCTTTATGGTTGTTTGGGGATTTAGGGGATTCCAGGTTGGGGGTACAACAGTGCGCCCTCGTTTTGTGTCATGGCTGCTATAGACGTGGTTAGTGCTTTTGGTTTGGGTTGTCTGAGTACGGAAGCGTAGAGCGCTTATAGGATTTCAGGTACTTTAGCTCCAAAACCCCCCGAAGGTTCTGGACTCCCATGTGCCTGTTTAGGGTTAGGGTTCTGCCCAACTGGATCAACCGAGATCTGACATTGGCTGAGGGCCTTCTGCACGGCGTCCGAGTTGGAAGGCGAAGGAATGGATCCCGGTGCTAGAACTTCCTTGGGAAGGATTCGGCTTTCTCCAAAAACGGAGTTAATGCAATGCATGGCTGCCAACTTGACATTGAGTTTCTCGACTGTGTGTGTGTGCGTGTGTCGTTTCGCAGTCTTTCTTGGTCTTGGACTTGAGCCTCACCACTCTGCACAGCAGCTGTTGTGCAGCTTGGGGGCAGTGCCAGGCACTGCTAAGGAGATGGGGGGCGGTTCTCGCCGTCGCCCTTCGTATCCTTCGTCTAGGCTGATGGGCGTGACACCTCGGACAATGTTTCCATTTCCATTTCCACAGGTGGCTCAAATGGAACACCTTTCGCGAGGCAGAGCTTTCAACGCTGGCTCCACGACATTTCCAAGCCAAGCGGCATTCAGCAACTAGGTCATCCTCAAAGAGGGACAGTCGCAGAAAATGGTCTCATGGGTTCACATGGTGCTGCGGTGTTTAGGTGCAGGGCAGAACGCAACATGGCAGAGCTCCGGGCAGCATGAGTCGCCACAGAAGATATTGTTGGCTCTGGCAATGGAAGCTCGATGACCTGTGATACCTGGCACAGCAAAGTGAGAAATTTGTGCCAGGCAGTCTGCAATCGCAGGCATTGGCGCTATCACAACAGCCCTCCAGAATAACCCTTCTCCAGCGCCTGCGACACCTCTGACAGCCTCAGTGTCGTGCAGGCACAAAAGTGCAGAGACAAGATCCTTGCTGGCACCCCCTGAGAAGACTCCTCTGTTTTGGAGCCTAAACCCTCAACCCACCTCACTGCAATAAACCTTAGCCTTCGCCCCCCCCCCCCCGCCCAAATCCAAAAAAGTCAGGTCTGGAAGCTTGTCCTCTTTTCTCCAGGGTCTCCACCACGAGGACTTGGCTTTCCTAGCAATGATGCCATCTTCAGTTCTTTATCGCTGGAATCATCGTTTGTTTGGCCGTCGCAAGGACCTTCGGTTGCTAGATGTGGCTGCTACATACTGCGTTCTGAACACACTGTCTCCAGAAGCTGCAGCAGAGAGAGCGGGGGGGGGGGGGGGGGGGGGGGGCGCCCCAGAACATCACACCCTGAATGGACTCAAAATACTGCCAGAAACCATGTGGGCCCTCCTGCCCTTTCACACAGCACCGTCCTCGCTTCGGGTTCCTCTTTCCCGTCCCAAGCGCGATCCCCCCGACCTCGAGTGGCTTGAGTGAAGGGACTGGGAGGCACATCTCTTTTTTGAGGCTCTTTTGTTAGGTCAAGCAGGTGACAGAAACTTCCTGATTTCATGCTGGAATCCTGATAAAGGCTGAAAGCTAAATGGCAGATATGTCGCCATGACTCATTGGTTGGCGCATTCAAAGCAGTTTATGCCCATAGGTTCGCCGGACGGATCAGAAACGAAAGCATTCATGATTCTCCAACTTCAAGCGCAGCTGTTGCCTTCAGCGTGGGAGAATGGCATTTGTTGGGCGTTGTCTGGGTTACCCTTCTGTTGGTTTCCAAAAATAGGAGTAACCCATAATATACCCCAAAATAGTATAAACCATATTATAGGAACCCCCCAAAAAGAGTACCCCTATTTTGCAGTTGCATAATCTCAAAAAAGCAGGCGCGTGTGTTGCATCCGAGGTGCTGGGTATGTTCTCGACTTTGGCTGCCACATCACCATCGTCCCCTGTAGTACAGTGCGGTGGCCATCCCGCATCTAACTCTCCAATGTCTGCAGGCTACAGGTGAGGGGTTTGGAGTGGAGATGTCGAAGTTCAAGAACGAGATCGGTGTTCCCAAGAGAGGGCTCTGTGAATTCGGGCAAGACAGGCCGGAGCTTCCAGTCGACACCTGCATGTCCTCGTTGCCCAACTCTAAGGTCAGGAGACTGCACTCCAGGGGGTCTTCCGCCATACCTACACAAGCCCGATCCGAAAGCAAAGGGCTCAAAAGACAATGGTACTCAAATGATGGTTACCACATCATTCGTGATAAGCAGCTGACTTTGGCAACAGCACTACCTGCTGCGAGCTGCCCTGTTCGGAAATTCGGTGCTGCCTCAGGGACGGTCGCGGCCACGGGTGGGCAGGGACAATGCCCAAAGGCGCTTCTACTGGCCGGCCCCCCCTCTGTCCTACCTTTGAGGATGGTTCATGCCTGCAGGCCGAACACGCACACACAAACATCATGGGCAGGATGCCGGACATGCGCCAGTGGCTTTGTTGGGGGTTTCCGAAATAGGGGTACCCTTGTTGGGGGCCCCTTGAAGGGGACTCTATTCTATTTTGGGTATATAAGGGGGTGCCCCTATTCTCCTTTAAGGGGATTCTGTTCTATCTTGGATATAAAAAGGGGGTGCCCCTATTTGGGGAAATACTCATGTGTAAATACCGTCACTCAGTAACCCTAAACCCTAAACCCTAAACTCAGTGGGTCCTGGTGCTGAAGCTGCCTGGTGCCATGCAAGTTGGCAGACCTCGGCGCTGAGGGCGAATCGTTCTGCCTCCAAAAAGCAGCGACCAGTTTTTGTACAAATAATACTACTACTAATATTTCTCATTTTTCTTTATAGAAGCTGTTACTCCTACTAATATTTCTTGTTAAGCATTGTGATTGAGATGAGTAATAGTACTATGAACAAGCAAACCCCGAAGACTTACAGGGTCGTTGCGAAAACCAGACCCCGCACAAAGCTGTCTGCGGTTTAGGGTTCAGGGTGTAGAGTTTCGACTCTCACACTCCTAAACCCGAAGCCCGAAGCCCTAAACCGCACAAGGCAGGCAAGGCTTTGGGGCTTAGGGAGAATGCCGCTGGAAGCCTCGGGTAAAGCTCCGGGAGCTGGGCCAACAAGAAGCTACTCGCCAGAGGCATGGGTGATCCCTCTTGTTCTTAGTAGGGAATGAGGGAATGAGGCCTAAATACACCCTTGAAAGGATTCTACAAAAGCCCTCATTCCCTCATTCCCTCATTCCCTACTAAGAACTGGCCAGTGACTCGGGTTCGGTGGGGGCGTGGTTTGCCACAATGGGGTCAACCGACTCACACACGCATCCTTCCAATCTACATTGTCAGTTTTGGGAATTGGCTCGGCTCAATGATGTTACCCTAAAACCCTAAAACACTAAAACACCAAAACCCTAAACCCTAAGCAGCGCCTGGCAGCGCCTAGCGAGGGCAGATTTCTGAAAAGATACTGCGGCTGTTAAAAAAAACCCTTAACCTCTTTGAGCAAACGACTCAGCCGGGCATCTGGCGCATCCAAAGACAGTATTCCACCGATGGCGCGCCTGCCAAGTGGTGCAATCCGTGGCAGCACTTGGAGGCTCTGAGATTTGTTCATGTAGCTCTCTTTCCAGAGGCAAATCTGTGCTCAGGCGTTTGAGTGTCTTCCCCCTGAGCTTTGCCTAGCTGTGGATTGAGGTTGTAGGCCATTGTAGGCCTGTTGGCCTCGCGTTCGCCCTTGCTTGGTCTTCCTTCCTTCTACTGCTTCTTCGCTATTTTTTGTCCTTTCCCTCAAGTCTGCATTCCCAGAAACAGCGTGACAACCAAAACAGAGCACGACAACCACGTGCCAATGTACAGAATGAAGGCAATTCTTAAAACCCAGCATGCTGGCTTAAACTCTGCTTGCGCCGCCCTAAACCCTAAACTGCGAGACCCTCATCGAAACTTGTTCAAGAGGTGGCCTGCCACTGCCCCAGCTCTTGCCTTTGCCCTTTTTGCCCTTCTGGCCCTTTCCACCCTGGCAAGGCAATCATCGAGGTTTCAGGGTTTAGGGTTTTTAGGGTTTCCATGGCGCGGAAACATTTATCAGCTGGGAACATGAAGCCGGCTTCTATGAACGAGAATAAACCCAAAAACCCATTCCTTCTCTTGGGCTGTGACGCCCATGAAGATTCGCAGAACGCAAATGCCAAGAGGTCTTCTGCAATGCTTCAAATCCATGGACAACTACTCAGAATTGGGCCACGAGTAAGTAGGGATCTCTCCTCCCCCCCAACTTGTCGCCTCAGAAAAGCAAGGACCAGGATCCGAACCCTAAACCCTAAACCCTAAACCCTAAACCCTCCAACACCCTACGGAGCCCTGGCGGCTCTAAAGTTCGGCCCCGCTCGAAGCACCAATGGTGGAGCTTGTGCCTGCATCTCTAAACCCTAACCCCTTTTGCCCTGAACCCTGAACCCTGAACCCTGAACCCTAAACCCTAAACCCTAAACCCTAAACCCTAAACCCTAGCATGTGAGTGTGGGGGCTACATCCCCCAAGCCAAGGAGTCTCTTTTTCGGGGGTCCCAGCCTTCCCTCCGGGTGGATAGGGCGGCTCCCTCGGCCTTGTGAGGTTGTCGATTTTGGGTTCATGTAAGAGCTTTGGAGGTTTTGGTGGAAGGGTTCGGGGTTAGAAGCAATGTGCTACCTCGGCCACTACAGAGTCCTAGAGGCCTTCGTTTAGGATTAGGATCATGGGTCCAATGAGCTTGGATGCGAAGGCCCTTCACGTTCGAGAACTCCGAGTCGAAGTGTGGACAAGCCGTAGACAGTTGGCAGTGGAACGTATGCCAGGCCTGTGCGTCTTCTGCCAGTGTTGCTGCTGCTGTCGGTTGCGAACCTTAGCAGCTTTGGCACGAATTACGCAGAAGCAGACAGCCAAGTGCAGCTTTACAAGGATCAATTAATCAGCAGCATCATAACTGCAAACTGCAATCCCTTGAAGTGGCACTTTTTGGACCTCCGTGGCAGTGTGCTTTCGGACACCATCTGAGCGCAGCACCCAGCTGCGGGCCGCAGCCATAGCTGGCGCGTAAGCCTCTTATGCGGACTCCGCGGAGCATGCAATTTGCCAATACTTTACTCTGATCATTCCTGAACGATAAATCCGAGACTTCGGTGCTGCAAGTTCCAGACAAGTCGTTTTGCAGGTCTGTGGCCTCGGATTTGACGCGGCCGGCAGGTGGCCTGACCGCTGCCTGTCCGTGGTTGGGGCATCCAACACATGGAAATCCATGCCCTGACACGCCCGTTCAGCCAAAAGTGCACTAACCCTTAAACCGTTACTATCCCACCTTGGAAGCTGCCACTTTCCGGGCCGCAGCCATTTCTGGGTTCGCGACCTGTGCAGTGTTGCGGAGGTTTGGCGCCAAGTTATCTACATGACTTGCAGTTAGGCCGATTTCGGCCTGTTGACGTTGAAGGCCTGAAAAGCCCTTAAGCCCTGACATCACTCACCTCCGGCCAGAGGTTTAGAACCCTACACTGCAAACAAGGCTAGCCCTTAAAAACCTGGAATGCTCTAAACCCCCCCAAATCCCTTAACGCCCTAAATCTCTATCTATAGACTCATAGACCCTAAACCTTTTCCTTAAGCCACGAAAGGAGTGCTATCAACCAAGTGACCCAACTGTGCAACGGCCCTGCTCATAGAACGTTGGTTAGTAGGGAATGAGGTACCCTATATAATCCCTTAAAGGGTATATATATAGGGGATATAGGGTAGCTCATTCCCTCATTCCCTACTAACCAACAGTAAGTCATGGCCTCCTCGCGCAACTCTTCCAGCTGCTGGTCCAGGTCATCGGCGGGGGTGGCCTGGATCAGGCTGGCGGACGATAGCGGCAGGCACAAGCTCCCACGCCGACCATTGCCCCAAAACTCACGCTGTGACGGCTGGCGACTGTCAGCCTAGATTCATGAATCATCGCTCTCGAACCCTGTCCACCCCTTCATGTCTTCTCCGTCACTTTCGCAAGTCTCACGTTGCCTCCTCTTGCGTTTCCGGTCCATCCTCAGCGTCCATCCCAGCCTGACCCACCAGGCCGCAAACAGCGCAGCTGCAAGGACGCTGCTTCGCACTGACATTTAAACTTGGGATGTTCCCCCTTATACTAAGAGTCCTGAATAGGGATGATAGTACGCCTACTATAATCCCTACTAAGGAATGTTAGCATACGGGGGAACATCCCAAGTTTAAACAATGCCAAGAAAAAAGCCTTGCAGCCCTTTTTCCGTCGACCCATCGGGCGGTTGCTGTGAACATCCTTCACCATTCTTCAACCTGCGTCTTCCATATGCTCTGAGCATGGGGATGCATGATCCCCATGTCTCTTAGCCAGTTGTCTGGCATTGGACATTTCAGAGCAGAGGGAGAGCCCCGTATGGAGCCTCGCATCATTGAGTGCAGCTCCTAGGCTTCGAGCTTTCGGGACACTCTGGCTCTGTGCCCTAAGCAGTTGTTGTCAGCGCAACTGCTTGGGCACCGAGTGGCGCGGGTGGCCGCCAGATCATTCGTCCGCCCAGGCTCTTTAGACTGACTGCAATGTCATTGTCTAACTGGTGCAGAGCAAATATCTGTTTTCCTACCAAGCCAAGGCTGCCTGAGGCAATAATAAATAATGATAATAACAATAGTAATAGGAATAATAACAATAATAATCATCGAGATTTGAGATCTCGAAAACTCTCATCTTACTCCGGCATGCCATCGCCCAAAGCAGCCAAAGCAGCATGGCACAACTGGTGCATGCCCCTTTCGGGCCATTCAAGTGGCCGCTGCAAAGACCCCGCAGCTGCGGATATATTTTGCTAGGCCACACTACATAGGCTCCGTTTTGGAGGTATGGGGCCGCGGAATCGCGGTGGTCTCCAGTCATTTCTGAAGCCATGATCCTGGTTACTGCATCAGGCATCGACCCAAACGTGCTTCATGGCGTGACTGACACGTAGGTGTTCGGATGAAGCCCCTCTGAACAGAAACCCAGGGCCAATCTATGAGTCGAAGGGCTCAGCGAAACCGGCCCATAGTGGCTGAACCTCAAACCCCTCAGCCTCATCAATCCTAAACCGCCTACCCTAAAGCCTCGAAACTTCAGCCCATAGTACCAAACAGAGTTTCCCTAACTTGAAGCTCGAAACACTTGCGAACTCAGTGGAACCTGAAATCCTCCCGAAACACGTTTCAACCTCAAGCCCTCGACCCAATACCTACACGACCGAGTTCGAGGCCCTGTCTTCCCTGAAACCATGACATGTCGGAACCTGGTGCACGGCTTTGGGGCCCCTGTACTACTATTTGACTATTTGCCTTTCAAGGAAGAATCTCTTCATTTTTTTGGGGGGTCCCTCCATCTCGACACTACCCTGGGATACTTGGTGCCGTGGAAGAAGACAATGCTTTAAACCTCTGTAAGCTAAAGTGTCCATTTTGTGTTTGTCCTCTCATGGGCTGTCTTTGAACGGATGTTGTTCTTCCACCTCCTCCATGCAATCAACATCGAAGGCGCGCGAACTCTTTGACCTCTCCGATATTGAAAAACCAGCCCGAGCTTAAGGGTTCAAAACCTCCCTAAACCCTAAACCCTAAACCCTAAACCCGAAACCCTAAACCCTAAACCCCCCTCCAAGCCCTGCAAGTCCTCCGTGAGCTTCTGCAGCTCTGTGAACGCACCATCCTGCCGCTTCAGGGACTGGAGGAGCGCAGCACGAAAGTGGGCCTCCAGGGAAGATGGGTTTGGGGTTTAGGGTTTAGGGTTTAGGGAGGCTTTTAGCCTTAGGGTTTATGGGGTTTCTGCAGCGCTATCTCTGAAGAGATGCAATCTGAGGGTTTAGGGTTTAGGGCCCAAAAGGGCTTGGAGTTTTTCGATTGCAGTTGTCCGAGGTTTGCAAAGCTGTGCAGGGCGTTAGAATGATTGATTGATTGATTGCCTGTGGGCGCGAGCGCCCTTGCGTTTGCAAGGCAACATAGGCTGCTCCAAGCTGTACTAGAGGAGACAGCACTCAAGCATGCGAATAGCTCAAGGGCAGAGATGCATGTTAGAAAGGCTTCACCAGTCTGTTATTTATGGTACCTTATTCCTCCTTTCCCCACTAACCGACAGTAAGCCTTGTGCCCGCACGCGTTTCTTGGTGTCCGTTTGCACCCGGCAGGGGGGGGAGGGGTGAAGGTACTGCTGGGGCCTGCAACTGAGACCAAGGCTCAGTCTTCCCTTGGGGCTATCCAAAAAAGAGAGTCATAATCATAAGAGGATTATAGTAGTAAAAATAACAGCAATAATAATATGAACGAGAGTCATAACAAAAATCATCACAATCATACTGACAATAACCGGAAGAAGAAGATTGCCCTCATTGATTGCCATGTGCCCGGACGGCCAAACTAGCGAATATCACTGCTTCAGCCACGCGATGACTGTCTAGTGCCGTACGGCCAAACTAGCGAAGATCACTGCTTGAGCCACGCGATGGCTGTCTAGTGCCGTGCCCTTCGACAGACAACCCCTAAACCCTAAACCCTAAACCCTAAACCCTAAACCCTAAACCCCAAACCCCAAACCCTAAACCCTAAACCCTAAACCTCTGCCTGCATGGACTTCAGCTCCTTTTGCAAGGCGGCCTGAGATGGCGTCTGGGATTGCACGTGCGTGATTTCTTCTATGCTGATGCGAACGAGAGCACTGTCCATGCCTCCCTTGCTTAGGGTTTAGGGTTTAGGTTTAGGGTTTAGGGTTTAGGGTTTAGGGTTTAGGGTTTAGGGTTTAGGGTTCAGGGTTTAGGGTCTAGGGTCTGTGACTCAAGTGCTGCATTCTCAGCCTAACATGCCTGACCACTCAACTGCTGCCTCCTGAATGCCCAGAGAACCTTAAACCCTTTTTGCATCGGGTCTGCAGCGACTCAACCAGGTAACAACATAAATAAAACCTTTTGCATCCAGGCCTCTTCGAACACTGCCGGGAAACACCAACTAAATAAAAGCTAAACCCCAAAACCTCAACGACCCTAAACCCTAAACCCCCAAACCCTAAACCCTTTTTGCCAAAAACCTACCCAGTCTTGTCCAAGGTGCGTTGTCTCGGCCGCGTTGCTTCCAAATACTCGTCCATGCCTCGGAGGCATGAAGCCAGCGCCGGGCCGCCTCAAGTGGTGTCTGACTGTAGGGTCTTTTTTGCCACCCGCTTAGCTGACCTTGTAGGGTTTAGGGTTTAGGGTTTGGGGTTTAGGGTTTAGGGTTTTGGGCCGAGCTCCACATAATCACTTGTGAGGGGCTCTACTATGGACCTTCAAACAAGCTTTTTTCTTGCAGCTTGTGATATGTGTTTCAAGGTTGTTTCAGAGGTGCTCAGGATCGGCTTTGGCTTGGGGTGCAGGGGGGCTATACTCCCCTTAGAACCTCATTTTTAAGATTAGGAGATTATATCCTCTTGGGTTTTATGTAAACAAAAATAAAAATAATTCCCAAGGGAAGGGGGATATAGCAGGGTCAACTTCGGCGACTTTTACGTGGTCCTGCGCTGCCCGGTCTGTTCACTCATGGGTTTCAAGGAGCCAAGGTTCCTCCTAAGCCCCGGTATCTGTTTGCTTGATTCCGAAACTCCGAAGCAAACCCCGGAATAGAAAACCATAGATATCCACAGGTCGACTTTGTCATCAGGTGAGATATGTGTTGAATGCTGCGCAAGGGGTAGTACTGAGCCTGCAGTGCAAAGCACCGATCATTTATGAAACTTCGCTAGGCTTTGTTGGATTCTGCACGAGGGCCCGCATGAGCCATTTCGTTTCTTCTGAAAGTCTCCCTAAGCGTTCTCGTTCTTATTGCGGCCCCTATCTCGTTCTCCAACTGTTCTCTACCACGTCACATCTAGTTAGAATCGACGAAGCCCAAAACACACGGGTTGCTCTCATGTGTTAAGATGCTATCGCAGCCGGGATGCGTTGTCTGAAGTGAGCTGCATCTTGCCCACAGGATTCAAAGAATCTCCTGCAAATTGCCACTTAGCTGGATGTGTCAGGCATGTGCCCTGTGCAGAACAAAGACAAGCGTCCTATCTTTTCTGACCGGCCTTCATGAACGCCAAGCCGTAGCCAATCCAGTACTGCGGTTGCAGCATTTGAACGTAATGGTGATGAAAGCCTCAGATGCAGGTTCGGAAGCATCTTTGCATGGAAACTGAGATCAGGTTGATACCGGAGGGGCAACAAGTGACCTGCATGTTGACTTCCTAGTCGATCTAGTCGGACTGGATGCTAGCATGCTACAATGCTACTGCTACCCTCCAGTGCGGAGCACTGCCTAAAAACCATCCCACCAGAATGACAGGCTGGCCTTTTGTCCGACGTTACGCGCATGCGAGCGCGAACATAGAGCTTCATGATGGCGTGAGGTTGTGCCTCAAGGCAACTTGGCTGTTTGGCTCTCTTGTGAGCATTCTGTGCCATGACCCTTGGCATGTCCCAAACCTGATTTGCGGTGGGCATTCCCTCATTGCTCGACCATGCCCACGTGCATAAAGTTGTCAGGACCCCGTGGGCGGAAACTCTCTCTTTCTCCGTCTCTCTCTCTCTCTCTCTCTCTCTCTCTTTCTCTCTTTATTTGTTCCCCAAAAAGAGATGTGGTCTACAAAAGACACACAGGGAACCAACTCTTCCCAATTCCCGCCCCAGCCTGCAGGACGCTTTGCGCGAACTGCTTGGCCTCCTGATGTGGCACGGTTCACTCAGTTCCGTGAGTCTTATTCTAGGATGGCCTCGGCCAACGACAGCACTGAGTGCCCTACAGTAACACGCAAACAGAACCTGCAAGGGTTTTGTAGGGTTCTCAAAGACATATTCGCTCTTCATCCAATCTCCTCTGGGCCACCGCCACTGGCGCAAGCTCCTGAGCTGCCAAAATATCTAGCGAATGCTGTCCCGATTCCCTAGGCCTTAGGGTTTAGGGCCCAGTATAGTGCCAACATGTTCCAGGACAAACTGATGTGGTCTGGTGGTGTTTGGATCATGCGCTTTGCTTGGCCAGGCGTCGGTTGCATTTGG